AAACCCGAAAAAAAAACCCTAAACCCGAAACCCTAAACCCGAAGATTGTCGTTTTTCCATTTTCAGGCTGGCCCTGCAAGAACGATTGCCAGGCGATCGATGGCGGTGGCATCAATCCGGTGGGCTGCATCGGCAGCCGAGAAGGCCATTCCTCTAACCGAAGGGGTTTAGGGTTTAGGGTTTATAAACCCTAAACCCTAAACCCTAAACCCCTAAACCCTAAGCCCAAAACCCAAAACCCTAATGAAACCCTAAATCAAGCATTGCCCGGGAATCCGTTAAACCCTGAGCCGGCAACCCCGCTGACAGATGGCCTGCAATGGAACTTCCGGTCCACCGGCGCTCCTGCTGGGGACGGCTTTAGCCAGGTGCCGCAAAGTCAGGGGTCTGAAATCAGAACGAGGATGATGACAAGACTGGCATTGGTGGTGATACCAAGAGTCACAGCAGTGACAATAAGACTAGTCATCACAACAGCTGCAGTCTTTTTATCAGTTGACATCAACAGCAATTTCATCGCTTGTAGCTGCGCGAGCCTCATGTCGGAAATACATGTGTGTCTGTATTTGTGTGTGCATGTACTTGCTGGCTTCTTATTGATGTGGTCATGTTAAAGTATTATGATACAAGTTGATGATGGCTGCATGTACAGAAATCTTGTGATGCGCTGCGTTGCTTGCTAAGCTTTGCAAGGCTATTGTAGATTTGCAAGGCTATTATTAGCATGTGCAAAGTAAGTGCGTGTGTGCGCATGTGCGCATATATATATACATACATACATACGTATGTATGTACATAGGTATAAATATATATATATATACATATACATATATATGTATGTATATATATATATACATTTTTACGTTTATACCTATGTACATACATTACATTACATTACATCACATTACATTACATTACATTCCATTGCATTACTTTACATTACATGCCATCGCATTGCATCGCATTGAATTGCATTGCATTCCATTACATTGCAGTGCAATGCCTTACCTTATCTTACCTTACGTTACATTACACTACATTACGCTACATTACATTACGTTACTTTACATTAGGTTACATTACATTACATTACATTACATTACATACATCTGTGTATATGTATATGTATATGTATATGTATATGTATATGTATATGTATATGTATATGTATGCATGCATGTAT